GAAGATACTAGCTCTCACTCTAGAGTTTCCTCTTCTCCCTCCACCTGAGGGCTAACATCTCATATCAAAACTTAAAACTATAAATCAAATTGGGGGCTTTAGCCTGTCACTCTAAAGTCCTCTAATTTTACACCCTTCAAAGTTCATTTCTTTATTTATTTGCACTCAACCCCATGAACTATAATCTCATCCATGAAATCAAATGTGATTTTTACCATTTCTTGACTGAGACAATACCATCTCGGATCTTACATGTTCTCACAATAGGTATTAACATCATAATTTGCCAAATCAAGAAGTAAATGAGGTACAAGGTTTAAAATCATCACAACTTCTTCCAAAATGAAAGTATAATACTTCAGACAACTTTCTTCCAATACTTAATCACTTATCATTTTAAGGAAAAAGATTAAAAAAACTACTCATAATGCATGGAGAAAACAGAACCACAATTGAGTTTGAAAGTAGAAATCACTCACACAAACAAGAAGTCTAAATTAAAACCAAATGTAATCATAAAGATAAAAACTTATTTAAAACTTCCTCTCCACAAAATGTCTTGAAGTTCCTTTGAATCTCTTCCTTCACTCACAATACAAAATACAACTCAAAATAAAAAGAAAAGGTGGGTGGCGGTGACGACGATGGGAGATATCACCTATTCAGCCTTACTGATGGATCAAGCATCCCAAAATTCATCACCTATTCATCCTTACTTCAATTCGAACACACTTTTAAAAAGGATCAAGAAGATAGAGAAAGAGGTACATAACCTTATGCATGCAATTGAGAATAAGAAAATTTCTGAAATGTTGGATCATTTGGATTGGAGACTGAAGGAACATTTTGAACATACTAGATGTATTGAAGGTGGTTTGGAACGTATTGAAGATGGTTTAGTACATATGTTCAAGAAACATGCTTGGATTGAGGAAGATTCAACAGGTGAATTTCCTTATTGACCATTCTACAACTTGTACGTGCACTACCAATCCATGGGAGATATCTAGGAGGACGAGAGCAAATAAGATGTTTGAACTTACTTTATGCACGTAACACTTAATTAATACTGCTTACTTATGTGATTGTGTTATGCTGGATTGCATTTACTTTCATTGTTCAACTCTTTTATGTTTGTTGTTGAGTATTTCAATGTCAGTGTTAGGATGTTTGGTTTGCTTTGGACACTGAATTAGATTTTGTTGTCTTGAAAACTTTTAGTGTGTAATAGTGCAAATTTTATATATAAAAGTGAGTTTTGTGTTGTTTGTGATTGTGAGTTTTGTGTTGTTTGTGAAAGTTTTGAGTTAGAAAACTGTTTAATTTTGAGTATAAGTGTTTATCTGAGTTAATTACAAGTTGACGTAAAATGGTACGCAGCAGATTTTCTCATAAAATGAAATCTGGAAAACTAGGGGTTGGCACATGAGACACCAAATTCTCGAAAACACCCAGTTTACTTAAAACCAGTGAAATTGCACAGTAAAACACCATTTTTACTACATGGGTCATCTCCTACCTCTAAACCATGACCTAGGACTATACATTGTGCGCATTTGAGAAGATTTCAAACACCAAAAATCTTAAATTTCATCTTCTCTTGGTAAGATGTTCACTTTAACCTAGAAATTTTTATTTTCACTATGGATTTGTCCTAAATTATGGGAGATCCGAAATTTGGGATTTTTGATGAAGAAGCTTAAAGAAAACCCATGGTGAAAAGTTTCTTACCAAATAATCTTACTTGCATAGTTAGATTTTTGATTTTGTAATTTATTTAGATTTTATTTGGACTTTCATATAAATTCCAATGGCTCTACGAGTAAAAAGAGGAAAGCCTACAGGAGATTTTGACGCGAGGAGATTCATCAATTATAAGTTCATGGCACACCTGATATTGTAAATGTGTTTCAAATGTATTGTTGCTTTGGATTGAAAACCTTTGTTCCACGAAATGCCACCTAAGCTGAACAACCAGATTTGAATGCTCAGATGTAGTTCTTCTCCAAGTGAGGGAATGACCTCGATCAAACATTGGTAAAGGAAGCTTGAAGAAATGGACAAATGATAGTGAAGCCTTTGAGAGCTTCAATTTAGAAAATAAAATAGTGGAGAAGTTATATGGGGTTCGTCCTAGTTGGATCTAATACAATCCTACAAATTTGTAGATAATAAACGGGAAAAAAGAAATTGAAATTTGAAGTTATTTGGGAGAAGAAGAAGAAGGTTGTAAGAAATGGAGGGAATCAATGAAATAACAGTAAGCAAATTGGGGTTTGAATTTTAGAATTCTATGTAAGCCAAAATATGGGGGCTGGGAGGGGTATTGATAGGCTAGCTATGTCAGTTAGGGGGCCCTTTGTTCCAATCATTAGCACTTATAAATTGGTGCTAACCGGACCAGTGAGTTTGCAGTGAGCTAGAAAAAGTGTTGAGTGTGTCATATGTAGTTACAAGGTGTCCAATTATGGTTTGAAAAGTGCACAAGTTAGCTGTGGAGAGGAGTGTTTGTTGTTAGGTGGTTATGGTAGTGAAACTATGTTTGAGATTGGGTCTTTCTTAGCTTATCTAAGGGTAGATTTTTTTGAACTTGGGTAGTGAAATAATTAAGTTAAGGCTTAGGCAATGTATGACTTCAATTAACTAAGAATTAAATGGGTTTAATGGAAATTTGTTTTCAAGTTTTGTGCAAGAATCACGTCTGATTGATTTTAAATTTTGAGTGGATTTTAGGTATTGGATTTTGACTTAATTTGTGGCTATCTGAGAGTTATTTGACTGCCAAAATTGTGCAAGTTAGGATTTGGATTTGAAGGGCTATTATGTAGCAAAAATTATGAAAGTTTGGGGTTGATTTTAAGCAAAGAATGTGTTAGGTTTGTGGGATATTTTGGAGCAAATTGCGATGGTTGGATTGTTTACTAATTTGAGTTATTTGGTTAAAAGCTTTGAGTTGATTAAATGATTATTTAGGTTGATGAATTTGGAGTTGTTTTAGTGAAAAATTAGAAGCAAAATCTATGAAGGTTAAATGACTATTTGGAATTAAGCAAAATATAATGGTAGCTTAGATGGTTGGATTTAATTTGGATTTAGGCTTGGATTGTGATAGGTTCGAAGTTCAATTTAAGAGATTAGAGTTGGATTTTATCCGAGTTACATTTATTCATGGACTGATTTATAACATACTTGGGATTGTGGTTGTTTGGGTGCGATTAAATTCACATTATTGGTTGAATTGACATATAATTTTATAATGGGTTTGAAAAGGATTGAATTGTTAAGTTTGATTAATTTTAATTTCAAAATTTAATGAATAAGCTGTATATTATTTCATGATTGAACTAATTGAGAAATTTAGCTTATAGATTTTATAAAATTTGAATTTGGTTCTATGATTGAATAAAGCATGAACTAAGTTTGAATTGAATAGGATTTTATGTTGGATTTTGTATTAAACATATTTACGTACTTTTGCTATTGAATTGGTTATGTGTTTATATGATTTGAAAAAAAATTTGATTGCTTTGATAGAGTATTGTTTTCAATGAATTTGAATTTGATTTACGTTTTATTTTATATTTTAAAATGATTTTGTTATATTTTAATTTGATTTTTTTATGAATTCCGATCTTATTTCTTACAAATTTTATTAATGTAAAATTTTATGTTTGAATTTAAAAGATGGAAAAACCAAGTGTCGTTTCCTTCAGTCAGAACCAGTAAAACGAAAAAATAGAAGGAAACCAATCCGAGAGATAGTCGTTTATGATCAACTCTCTTAGCCGATTATGAAACTTTTCACAAAGAAGACCAAAGTGCATCTCACAGAATGCCTTTCTAATCCTCTGAGAAGGCTCCTTATCCAATGAGAACTGCCCATAAAATTATGATGGTACATCCAATGCCTAACATCCTAAGTTTACCCTAACGACAAAATGGTCTTTACTCGAAATTTTTTAAAGAGGGCTGACCAACGAACTTTGGGTTGATAGAATGTATGCCGACCAATTAAAAGCTTTAAATTGATCGAACGATAAGATCACTAGGTCATCAAATGCCCTTCTTTAAGTAGTTATGATATGAAATATTGCTAATAGCGGTTATAACTATGAAAATGTGCTATAGTCGGTAATAAATATTAAAATATGCCACGATAACTTGTAACGTCCCTATTAAAATAGGGACAAACATAAAATTTTACGCTAGATACCCCTACTGTGCCCTTTTTTCCACATAGTGTTTCTCTTGTCCGTCTTATGTTCTATACCTTGAGAGTGAATCAAAATATGTTTCTGAATTTAATAATATGTAATTGCAAGCGGTGTAAACGAGCCGAACACGAGCGAGCCTAGACTCAGCTAGTGTTTACCTCATTTATATTTTGAGTTCAAAAAGTCTGTTCGTGCTGGACTCATTTGCTTAACAAGCCGAACAAGAGTTGTTCACGAACAAAGAGTCTTTTTGACAAAGAATATTTAAAAATTATTATTTATATTAAAACATCACTTAAATCTAATTTAATAATTGTTATTCTATTTTCTTAATTAATACTTTTAATTGATTATAACTCTTTTGTAGCCTTGTAGTCAATTAAATTTTTTTTTATATACTAAACATCTATCTATATATATATATATATATATATATATATATATTGATGATTAGTATTCGAGCCAAAATGAGTCAAACACGAACGAATAAATCTTTGTTCGTGTTCGGCTCATTAACTTAGCGAACGAGCTGAACACGAACTTCTTAACAAGCCGAACACAATTATTCACGAATAATAAACTATTTTGACAGCCTTAATAATTACCCCCTTTGATATTGTACTCTTTTCCAAATAAATTAAGAAGTTTTGGAAATTCATAAGATATTCCTAACGAAATTTTCTGTTCTTTTGATCATCGTAACCCATGCGGCCAGCAGTCAAAACTGTCATTTTCTGTATCCTTAAAACCATTTCCTTTGCGGAAAATTTCCTTTTAATGTGCATTTATTAGGTTACATAATAGCCCCACCGCCGTTCATTTTCCGAAATAACATCAGCACGTGCGTAATGGCGTGCTCCCGACGCCCGCATGTGCGCTGGACGGCTCTTCCTTGCTCTCGCACGCTGCTCGTATTCATCATCCCTTCAGTTCTCCCCACCTCGTCGACGGTTTCAAATCCCCGCTCCTTCAAGTTATTTGCCCGCCAGTCATCACGAGGAGAATAAACCTAGCTCTAGGGTTTAGTTCAGTTGACCCCCAAATAGCTTTGGATTTGACTGGATTCGGATTCTAGTATCTGCACTTTTCTGTATTAAGCTTTCCAGACGCGCGCGCACACACTCACAGTTCTTATGGAGGCTATCCGGAAGCAGGCAAGCAAGCTGAGGGAGCAAGTGGCGAAGCAGCAGCAGGTACTTTGATTTTATCAGTGATTCCATAATGGTATAACTATTCCTAGCAGTTGGATTGTTATTATTATTATTTTTTTTGTTGCTAAATTTGATCAAAAGGATGCTGTGCTTAACTGAAGTAGGATAGATCACAACTTCAAATGTTGCTGTTTAGATTATTATAACACATATATCATACGTATTTACATATCTAACACCTAAACATTACTTTTTTATATTTATACCACTCAAAATTTTTCATATGAAATAAAAAATAATACCATTTTAACCTCTAAAAAGTGAAATATACCTTTTCATTGATGGGTAAGGTGGCATGTATATCAAAACTGAAGTTTAGGTGTTAGATATGTAAAAACATAGGAATTGAGTGGTATGCATATAAATCTTCCATTCCTTAAATGGTAAGGGGCTGTCTGGCAGAGGAATTAGACAGGTTTTAACCTGGATTTATGCTAAGTTTTGCCACAAGGTCAGTTTGAACAAATAAAACTAAAGCCTCAAATTTGATAAATTTGAATTTCATGAATTTCGGCCGTAAATCCCATATTCACTAATTTTTTTTTGTTCGGTGGATTTAATAAATAAAGTTATCAGACAACTCCTAAAGTTCAGGTAGGAGTGGAGCGAAGCGGAAGGAGGAGAAAGTTGGGAGTTTTGTTGGTCTTTGTATGCCTCGATCCCCTCGTCACCTTCCCACCTAATTCTAATCACTACTCTATCGCGAGGGTTCGATCAACCAAGAGAGGGGTAGGGACAAAGGCAAGGGTTCTGAAAGAAAGAGAAAGGACCGGGAGGGGGAATGTTGCAGGCAAGGGTTTCGACGAGAGAGGAAAGGAGTAGATAGATTTGTGATATCAATTTAATTTTACTAAGTTAATTTTATTAATTTAATTGGTTAATAAGTGATAACTATTTAATATATTATCAAATTAATTATAAATAGATAAATTATAAATAATTATTTAATAGTTAATTAATAAAGATAAAGTATCTATTAAATTTTTATTTATGGAATAAAGTTATAAGTGATTATTAATTAATATAAATAATTACTACTTAATATTAATATATAAATTTTAAACTATGGCTTAATAAATAGTTAGTTTAATAAAATTTTTATTAGTAATTAATTAATTTAGTGAATAATTAATTATTAATTTGCATTATTAGAAATAAAGTTTAAATAAAATTTAAATAAATTTAATTATTACTTTTTTTCAAAGTAATAAAATAACTTAAGTTTAATTATAATTTTTTATTCTAAAACATAAAAGATTTATAAATCGTGGTAGATGTTGTCAATCAGTTTTGCAAGATTTAATTGGATTTACTAAATCTTTTACCAAATATTTTTTGGGATTTTACTCTTCCAAGCTTTACTAAATCTGAAATTACAGGATTTACTAAATTCTACTAGCTTAAATTGCATATGTTATCAGACAACTCCTAAAGTTCTAAGGATTTAAAAAATAGTGAGTATTTGTTCTTACATATGTTACCAATCGCCGATTGTTTTATTTATATTAAAGAATAGGTTTAATTGTGATGTATGTAATTTATATTTTTCTCCTTTTGGATTCACTTTTGATTTTAAGCTAGTGCTCATTCAAGCGTAGAGCTGGTGCTTTAGCTTTTGCAAAATGACAGGGAGAGGAGAAGATTATAAATAAAAAATCCATAATAAATAATAATTATTAAGTTTGTTGTTGAAATATGGCTCGAGATGTTATCAAAGCTACTTGATTCTTTTAACTATAAAATAGCATGAAACCTGCTCAATTTAAGCTTGGTAAGATATTTTATTGTGAAATGCTTGTCCATTACTCATTTCTTGAAGTATTTAAATAGAGAATCTATCTTTTTGTTTAGGGTTTTTGAAATTGGAAAATTATCTATTATGCATAATTTTTGTGTACAAATTACAAAACATGGATTAATTAAAGCAGATTAAACCGACCATTAATTTCAATTAAAAAAATTAATTAAAAAATTGAATGTGATTGGGTGGATTTATCGACATGAGCTCGATTGGAATGTGGGCTTCATCCGAACAGTTCACTATCAAAAGATCAATAATCTCTTAGAAAATATCTGTCGGTTGAGTTATTTCATTGGCAAAGGTCATAGCTATACACAAGGAGATCATTGAAAAAATGAGGATTAATAATGTAACATACAACAAACTATGTAAGTGGTTTGGATGAAATCACCTCCGTCCACTACTCATATGTAGTAGAAAAAAATTATAATTCCTTCCACAATTATCCCTTCCCCTTTTCAAAGAGCCTGCCAATCATGGATTGCTTGTTTTGAGCGACCTAAAGTGGGAACCAATTAAGAACAAGCTAAGAAGAGATCTACCAAAACACTGCATGACATGAATTGGGAGATAGTCGAGGTTGGTTGTTTTGCTTGATCTAGCTTATTTTGATCGGTGACGTCAATGATAAGTGGATTATTTTGATTGAGTATGATAATAAGCCACCACTATCCCCTTTTTACGTCTCAACTAGAATGACATATGTGCCTCAATGAGCACTCAATCTCCTCATTTGTGTTTTAGTGGATGGTGGATGCTTGGCTTCTGCGAGGTTGGGAAAGTTTGATTTGACTATGTTGATGAAGAGGGAAGTTATGAGAGGGCAGTATTGGAGGCTGCACTGAAGGTAGAAGAGGCTATTGCAAATGTTGAGGCTTCAACAAAGGTGAATGTTGTGAAGAAGTTAGAGGCTACATCAAAGATGGATGCCACAAGAGTTGATTGTTGTGTGGAGAAGAAGCATGCAGGTTAGGAGGCCATAATCATGAAGGATAAGGTGTTGTGTGCACGCAAGAGGAAGAGATCACCAAGGAAGCATGAAGGTTACCCAAGCTTGATAGGCCTAAAATTTGCCTTTGTTGACGACGATAGAGGATGTTGCACGTAAAGTATAAAGTAATTGCTATCACTCACTAGGGAAATGATAAGGTAACACCCTATTTATATTGTTAGCAAGGGGCATTTAGGAGGCTCGACCTTATTTGCCTTCAGTTTATCCAATGTATTGTCATTTTCGTTGCATGTTTGAGAAAAGAATTCAAGAAATGGGTTCAAAGATGACTTAATATGAGGTTGGCTGGAGTGTCATGCAACTTTGAACTAACACATTTAGTCATTTGGGCACATGCTTCGAGGCCATTATTAAGAGCTGCAAGGAATTGTCAAGACCTCAAAGTGATAACAAGATTTCAAGAAATATTTTCATGGGGCTAAGTCCGACTCCATCTCCAATGGAAACTCTTTACTAGATTGTTTATGGTACATTGAAGATCATTAGGCCATTGCCAAGTGACTTGACAGGTTAGCAGTTGGCCAAGAAGCTTATATTTCTATGTGTGGTCTCCACCGTCATTTCCTACTTTGATGAGCCAGTAACACAAGATTTGACTCATTCAGACATAAGGGAGATGCCTTTTGAGTCCTAACAACTTGAGGGAATGGTTGAGTTTGAGGGTTGGGACCAAGTTTTGTACCGAACCATGTAGTTGTATTCAAGGTTTGAGCTGTTAGAGAAATAATTTTATCTAGCCAATGCCAATTAGCTTTGGTTGCTTGCCTAAACCATGAATAGGTGGTCAAATTAGGGCTCCACGAAATAGCTCGGCACCATAATAGGAAAAAAGCTTATCACCTCTTATTTGACTTTTTTCATATTTCTAAAGATTAAATTCAAAACTTCAAGATTCTAATTTGAACATCTATTCTTTCCCAATTCACAAACTGTAATGCACTACTCTTCTAGAGAGAAAGGCGCTTTTGCATTATTTTAAACCGAATGGACATTAGACTGAGAGGGGCTATTTGTTTGGATGAATGATCTCTATTATCAACTCTCTTTCTAAAGAGAAAAAGCCCTTTAGGGCTGGTCTACTGCTTGAAAAAAATAACACTCTTTTTTTTAAAGTTCAAATCTTTGAAATATGTAATACACGATATCATGCTAAATATTCATTAGAATTTCATACAAAAAGATCATTATTAGAAATTAGATGGAAGTGTGACGTGTTTATCTATTTTATTGACGTCTTTCATGGAAATCTCATATTTTGAAAATAATATTTGTGATTCAAATTTGTGATTTGTGCCTAAATTCTTTTATTTCTTAGTTTCTCTTGATTTATTAGATTTTCTAATAGATGGAATGAATTTATTAATTGATTTAAAAATTATCAATATTTCTTTATGGAAATATCATATGTAATTTCATACCAATGTGGAAGGAATTTTTTTCTATCTTTTTAAGTGCTTAATAGATCACATATAAAGATTAAGATCTTTCATATCTCTCTTCTTTATATGATATATCCTTTTAGTCGAGTAATGAAAAGCTTTCTTCTTCTGTTTTAAAGGTGAACTGATATGTAAAACCTAACCTTTTCTTAATTAGAAATAAATAATCACAATCATATAAGTTTTTAGCATCATTCTTCAAGTCTCGCCTTATGACTGCGCTTCTTTAGTAGGTTAGGTAAGCCAACATATAATGCCCACTTTAGGGTTGTTTTAAACTCTGTTTGTTCTGCTCCAACAATTCTTTTGATTGGCTTTCCATTTCCTCCTTTTTTTGGACCACCTCGTGTTTTCAACTTTGGGCTACTTTCTAATTCATTTTATCATTGTTTTGACCATCCCTTTTTCTATTGAATTCCCATTCTTTGAACCTATATCTTATAATTCTAAGTAGGAAAACTTTTTTTCATTGCCTCATGGGCTGCACTTCACAGTTTGTTACAAGTAAAAGTGTAGTGTTTTTTGTTTTCTCCAATTTTGGAAGCATTATCAACATTGGGTTTTGAGGGGGAAGAAGATGACGTGGGTGAGATGGATTGTGGTGGAGTAAAAAATGTTCTTTATTAGAATCTATTTTAAAGTATGCATGGCTGGTAAGGAAGTTTGACGAAGAAGTCAAAGTTGCCAAAGACTATGAACTTAATGTGCATTATATCCCCTTGCCGAAAGG